GGTTGGAACTGGATGCTCTTTGAAGGTCCCTTCCAACCCAAACCATTCTATGATTCTACAATACAAACCAGGGAGGAATAGTTGATAGAGCAGGTGGTTGTGCTACTATCCAGAGGGACCCTGTCAGGCTGGAGAAAGGGACCAAGAGGAATTTTGTCACTCAAAAATGCCAAGCCCAGTACGTGGGGAGGAATAATCCCATGCAGCAGTACAGGCTGGTAGCTATTGGGCTAGAAGACAGCTTGGTAGGAAAGGTCCTGGTGGGCTTCAGGTTGACCATGAGCCAGCAAATGTGCTCTTGCAGCAGAGGCAGCAAATACCGTCCTGGGCTGCACGAGGAATTATCAGTGAGCTGTGTGAGGGAGGTGACCCTGCCCTTTTACTCAGCACTGAGACACCACGCCTAGAGCATCTCACATGGTTCTGGGCTCCCCAGTATAAAACAGACATGGACATACGAGATTGTGTCCAGCAAAAGGACACAAACATTATTAAGGTTTGGAGCACCTGTGATATGGGAGGAGGCTGAGAGCTGGGATTGTTTAGCCTAAAGAAGGTTCAGGGGATCTTAGAAATGTGTTTAAATATCAGGCAGAGGAGGAAGGAAGACAGAGCCAGACTGTTCTGAAATTGAAATTTGTGATCCATCTAAAGCTAAGAATTTTTTTTCCTTGTGTGGCAAAACATTGCAACAGGCTCCACAGAGAGAATGTGGAGACCCCAGAGCTGCTAAAAAGCACTGAAAGTGGCCCTGCTCTGGTTGATCCTACTTTGAATTCTCTTCCAATTGAAACAAAGGTCTGCTTCTGATAAAATAGCCCAGTGCGAATGTTAAAACTTGGAGTAAGAGTGACCTCTGGTGTTATTGTCGCTGAGGTAACTGAAACCCAGAAATGTTCAACTTGGAAAGAGAAGGTAGCTGCAGTCTGTTACAAACAACTCTTCACTTCTTGCTTCTCAAGAGAAACACTAAAGCAAGAAAAGAATGAGGTAAAAATTGATATGCATATATTAAATGAAGGTATTTTATTGATAGTTATGACCAAGGGTCAAATACCTCAACTGCTTATATTGTGTAAATGATTTGGTTCCTTTACTTGGTTTTATCTATTTTCTCTCCTTTGGAGACTAGCAGAAGGTAAAATAAATCTTTGCCACGTAGAAGATTTGGGAAACAATGTTGCTGCAAGTAAGAGCTGGGTTACCTACACTGGGTACTGTGGTATCAACAGACGAAGTTTGCCTCAGTATATCTAAGAATATAACTTGCCCATGGAAAATTACTAATTAATGAAACATAAAAGTCTTTCAAAGAGAAAATTTCATTGTTTATTCTGGGACATGAAGGGATTGCAGTTTCCAATGTCTTAATATACATGTCTTGAAAGTTAGAGCTGATATTACTTTTAAGATCTGTTGTCTGGATCATGTGCTGAGCATTAACCGTGTCAATCCTTTCATCCTCCTACAGAACATTTTCTTCTCTATACTCTGTTACTTAGCTAGTGGTGGCAGCAGCTGGCAGTCCTGTGATGTCTGCTGGCATTGGCATAAGTGAGGTTAATGGGTACATCTGAACAGGCTGTGAGACCTGTAGGTTTCACCAGCTGTATTGTGCACCTCCTGCTGGTGTAAACGGTGGCGTGCGTGTGCCATGTCCTGAATGTACTGGTTCTCCCGAAGAAGCTGCTCTTGCTGCTCTCTCAGATGAACTTTGGTTTCTTTAAGGATTTTTGAGTATTGGATGAGTCTGAGCAATTCCTGCCGCAGATGCCAATTCTCTGCTTTTACTTGTTTGATATGCTGAATTAGAGATTGTATTGCTGCTGCTTCTGCTCTCTTGGTGAGAACCTGGATCTTCTGATGAAAGTTCATCTTACAGTCAGCCTTAGCCTGCAGAAATCTGCTCTTGATTTTGTGCATTTCATCTGAATGCTGTATCTTTGTGACCAGCAGTTCCTTCTCCAGCTCTTTAATCTTTTCTATCTGTTCCTTCCGATAAGATGGGTCATTGAAAGGCTTCAGGTCTTCAACCTCCTTGCTCAGAAGAGAGTACTTTGACTCCATGTACGTCAGATTGCTCCTTACATCCTTTTCTTTTTCCATGTACTGTGAGATGAGCTTTTCTTTCTGCATCCCAGCTTCAGACAGATCAGCGTGATTCTGGTCATTTAATGTTATTATCAGATCCTGGCACTTCTGGCTGTGTTTTTTTATGTAAGAGAGGTAAGTGTTGCCCTCCTCCTGATTCTGTTGGGCTTCCTTTTCTAGGAATTTATTTTCCTGCAGGAAATACTCCATCCTTCCCACGTATGTGTTCATATGTTCAGTAACAACCTTGTATTCCTTCTGCAAGTATGATTTTCTCTCTTGGGCAAGTATTTCCATGTCACTTACTCCTCTGCATGTATCTCCATTCTTGGTTGTTATTTCTTGCTTATTTTTCCCAGCACGTGTGGTGTCTTGTTTCATCTCCTTTGTCTTGGATGCCATAGTCCACACTGGGAGTATCAAATTCTGGCAAACTGTAACAGAATGAAAAATGACCAATTCTAACCTAGAATTTATGCCACATGTATGAGTGTTGCTTTTTCCCCCCACCATGTCCTCTCATGTTTTTATGTTTTCAATTATTATTCTGGCAGCTAGAATGTTTGGCCTAAATGTTTTGTTTCTGGCCTATGTTGTGAGTTGAAACACACACACAAATGTGTATTTTAATTTTTATATTCCTAGTTAACTGAGAAGGAGTTCTGCTAATATAAAAATACACATTTTTTTAAGATTTCTTTTTTGTTGTATAATGTTGTGTTATTTCTATAGTTTGGAGTTCAAAGTCAAATTCCACTGCCCAGTTATTGTACTGTCTTTCTGTAGGCAGTAGACCATGTCCTTAAAACTTCAGCAGCAAGTTAAGAATTGAAATGCTAACAGAGACATGCCCAAAACTTACAAATTCATAAAGCAAATTCTAAAACATAACTGCTAAGTCATCATGCTGGACTGGAAGCTACCTGTAGAAAATGTTATGGACAGCAGTACAGATTAAGCCCCGTTCCTCCATCAAAGCTACATCCTGCAGTTGTATTTGAAGAGACAGCTGAATCCTTTTCCTGGATTTAGAAAGTTCAGTCAGTATTTTCTTATGAAATGAGAGCAGAAAAGAAAGTGTTGCAACCAGTTTTAATCTGGGGATTCAGTAATCAAGCAAGGTACTTACTTTGGAGACTGACCATGTTTTTATCCTTCAGTTGCCTGAGGTAACATAAACCAATACCTTCTTGGACATCATCTTAAACTATAACGTCATTTGAGATGTGACAGAGATAACTAAATATTTAGGAATATAGAGATAGTGAAAGAATAACCATAAAGGCAATAATGGCTAAATAAACATCCTCCCAGATCCAGCCATAGAAAGTGTGCCATGGATTTTGATGGAACGTTGAATGTGCCGTGTGGATGTGCCCAGTTGTCTAGGACTGGATTCTTCTCTCAGACATGGTGGGTGGAAGATAAGTACAGAACATTAAGGGATGAACATGAATTCAACATCCCTTTTTCTGTGTCGTATTTTGGTTTCATTATAGGTAAATAGCCTGAAATCTGCTTTGGTGTTTTAGTCAAATTAAGGCAAAATGTTTTACTCTATCATGAGAAAGATGTTATGGCTCTGTCAGAGTACATTGGTAACCATGCCTTGGTTTTCTCTGTTGTTACGGGTTGTCTCTTGCTGAGAAGATAACAGTCCTTTAATAAAGACAGTTTGATAAAGGAAGAATGAGAGGCTTTTCTTTCTATGTGTGTCATTTTCTACTTATACTCGTCAAGTTATTCCAAAGCACAATATTATCATAGCTAATCTATTTGTATTTCTGCAGTAGACTGTGCATTTTTGGCCTGTGGTAGGTATGTGACAAAGCATTGCATAGCAGGTCATATACAATGTTTAATTTTTATAATAAAACTTTATCTTTTTATTTTTAAACTCTCAAGGTTTCAAGGACATTTTGGGTGGGCAGATTGAGTCCAAACTGGGGGTAGCAAGAGTGGTTTGCAGTGGAAGCACTATGCCACATTCTTTTGTCCTTGACTGGAAATGCCTTTCTAGCAAGCATCCTGCTTCAGCTCATCTGCATTGGGTACAAATAGACACCACTTCGCACTATGCACATAGGAATTCTGGTCTGGTACTTCCCACTGCGTTACTCACTCACCACTGATAGGACACATTCACAGAACCATCAAATAGCTGAGGCTGGAAGGGACCTAAGGAGATTGCCTAGTCCAGTCCCTTGCTCAGAGCAGGGTTAACCACAGCAGGTTGCTTAATACTGCGTCTAGTCAGGTTTTGAATATCTCTAAGGACATAGACTCCAAAAGCCCGCTGGGCAGTCTGTTCCTTCTGTTTGACCACCATTACAGTAAAAAAGTTTTTCATCCTCTTCATCCTGTCAGCTACAGCAGAACTCTGTAAGTCCATTTAGTTTAAACGAAACATTCCCTAACCTGATCCTCCTCCATTAAGGGCAAGTCTTCCTTGCTCCAGACTTTCTCCCTGACCTCAGGGGCCTTGGATTCTGGAAGGTCAGTCTTACCAGTAAAGGTGAATGCAAAGAATGCACTGAGTAGCTCAGCCTTTTTGGCATCCTTTGTCACTCGCCCTCTGCCTCTTTGAGCTAAAAGGCCATGTTTCCCTGGTGGTCTTTCTGCTGCTCATATACCTGTAGAAGCCCTTCTTGTTGCCATTCACATCCCTTCCTGTATTCAATTCCAGATGGACTTTGGCTTCCCGCATACTCAGACAGTGTCTTTGTATTCATCCTGGGTTGCATGATCCTGACACTTGGATGATTCATTTTTACACGTGAGTTTTGTAAGGAGCATCTTGGTCTTTGGTGTATGCCTTCTGCCATCCTTGTTTGACTTCCTGCTATTGGGATGGACTGTTCGTGAGATTGGAGGAGCTCTCCTGCACTTCTCTCAAGGACCACTTCCCATGGGATTCTTCCAAGCAGCTCACTGAATAGCTCAAACTCTACTCTCCCGAAGACCAGGACTGTGGTCTTACTGTTTGCATTGTTCCCTTTTTTCAGGATCCTGAACTCTATCATCTTGTTGTTACTGCAAGGCTTTCACATCTGAAACTAGTACTGCCTTGTTTGTAAGTATCAGGTCCAGGAGAGGAACAGAACCAAGATGCTAAGTAAAATTTGCCAAAGTAAAATGCATGTTTAGAGCACAGGTTTATTTTCCAGAAGGGTCAAATATTACCGGGTAATGAATGATGAAGCGCAGCAGCAAGATAGGAGCTGCACATGCCTGATGTTTGTGCTTTTTCCTTTAGGTTCAGAATATTGGTTTTTTGGTCTTGACTGTGTGCACTGGTTCACTGGTAAGTACAGCTAAGCACTTCCTGAATTTGAGGAATAAGTTCGAAGATGTTTTGTAACATTTGCGACATACCAAGTGAAGGTGATGGAATAATGATTGTGCTCAATATAGCACTTTAAAAATTGATCTTCTGTATATATCAGGTTATTAAAAGTTAATACAGCATAGAAAAGGGATGTCTAGTATGTAGCATAATTTCTGTGATGTGAATGAGTCAGGAAATTGTTGAAATAACGGTAAGTGATAATGTAACAATTTGAATATATGTTCAGGCAGTGTGAGCACTGTGCCTGGAATGCTACATTAAGAATTTGCTAATTTTTTTCAAGTATTCATTTCAGGAGGGGGGTTGGGGTTTTCTTAACATGCAATATTATGCTTTAAAGCTGCTGAGATACATGCAATCTAAGAGGCACAGTTAAGTCCACAGTAGATACTAAAGAAAGGAAAATGCATCATTCATAGAGAAACTCGACATGAGCTGGGTTCAGTGTTCACTTGCAGCCCAGAAACCAACCGTGTCCTGGGCTGCATCAAAAGCGGTGTGACCAGCAGGTCAAAGGAGATCATCCTGCCCCTCTACTCCGAGATGCCACTTGGAGCACTTTGTGCAGTTCTGGTGTCCTTAGCATAAGAAGGACATGGAGCTGTTGGAGCAAGTCCAGAGGAGACCATGAGGATGATCAGGGGCTGGGGCACCTCCTGAATGAAGAGAAGCTGAGAACATTGGGGCTGTTCAGCTGGAGAAAAGAAGTTGCATGGAGATGTCAGAGCAGCTTCCAGTGTCTGAAGGGGGCCTATAAGGATGCTGGAAAGGGACTCTTCATCAGGGATTGTAGCAATAGGGCAAGGGGTGATGGGTTTTAAACTGAAACAGGTGAAGTTCAGGCGAGATATAAGGAAGACATTCTTTGAGGGTGGTGAGGCACTAGCAGAGGTTGTCCAAAGAAGTGGTAAATGCTTCATCCCTGGCAGTGTTCAAGGCCAGGTTGGACAGAGCCTTGGGTGAAAAGGTCTAGTGGGAGGTGTCCCTGCTCATGGCCATGGGTTGGAACTGGGTGATCTTAAGGTCCTTTCCAACCCTAACTGTTCTATATAATTCTATTAGTGATTCTTGCAGATATAATAGGAAAATAGAGGGGTAACTAGTACCTTGTGTGCTGACTTTTTAAACTAATTCAAAAAAGGAACAGTGCAATCAAGGATTTAGAACTGGAGAGAAGTCTAGTAAGTCTAACAGTTTTAATGAACTTGAAAGTTACTGTATTGTAATACAGCTGGTGACCCTTTTTAAAGAAAATACACAAAATTCAGGGAGGTAAGTGAGCAAAACAGAATAAATATATCTAAAATCACTTGTCACAGTAATAGCAGAATGGGTTACAAGCTAGGAATGTGGCAGCTGCAACAGAAGTAGAGTGGGTATAAGGAGACATAAGAATCTGTATAGAAATCAGTGCAGTTGTTTTGGGAAACAGACTTGAAGACCTAGAAAGGTCACAACAGGCAATAGTAGAACTGAGTTAATACTAATTGTGTGATTTTAGTGGAAAGGCAGTTGTAGAGCTATATGAATGCTAGAGAAATTCCTACATCTACATAGGAAAGCCAGGCCTTGCTGAAGTTGGTATTATACAGAATGCAGTGGGTGTTCTAAAGAAAGCACTGACCTTTCCTGCTCCTGTGGTCTTCATGGATTTTCCAGATAGCTTCTTGTGGCTTGCTGTTCCTGGTCTATTGGACAGCATTTGCTGATTGCCAGGCTGTGCTCTCTAAGGAATGCTGCTGTTTGTAAGCTGTGCGTGTCCATGGCAATGAAACATGCCAAGTCACAAAAGAAGTTCTGCAGTGAGACTCTCGGAGCTGTTTCAGTTCCCAGCTCAGTTGCGGGGTCTGACTGTGACATTTGTTACTTATTGGCATCAGGGTCCTGTTTTCAGCTGGGATAGACAATCAGTTAAGCAGAAACTCAAAGGCAGTTTGGCTTCTAGGATTAAGATTTATAGTGGCCAACATATTAATGAGGAAACAGCCTCAGCTCGCTGCTGAAGGAAAAGGTATGACTTAAGATACAGTCCTCTTAGGGAATTAGATGCCAG